ACTCCCATGAGCAATTACACCAGACAAGGATTGTTCCTGAAACAACAACAAAAACTAGAATTTGAGGGAAGAAGTCATGTGCAACAGAATAGGTAGCATCAAATGGTGAAAGAAAACATTGAATAACTTGGTGGATAGCAGGTGGTCCCTTAGTTCTTCTTTGTAGTGTGAAGTGAGTCAAGCGACCCTACCAAAGGTAGCTGCAGGAAGAGGCAGCTGTCCTGCTGGTTGTTAGGATGTGTCAGTGAATTCTGCCCAGTCTATTAGTAGTGAGGTCTCAGCTGTGTGTTCTTGGGAGTTTGGTGCAGGGCTGGAACATCACAAAAGGCCCAACTGGGAAATTAGAACACCACTTTGGGCAATCAGTGTGGCAAGAGCACATTGTGACTGAAGTAACAGGGCCTTGCCTGCCCCTGGCAAGCTTGTATATAAGATAGGCCAGGCAGGTGAGGTAATGTCTTTGATTGGACCAATTTCTGTGGATGAGAGACAAGCTTTCAAGCCACACAGAGCTCTTCCTCAGGTCTGGGAGAGGTGCTCACTTCTCAGGCACTTCCATCGGGGCACAAGTAGGGTGACCAGACAGCAAGTGTGAAAAATCAGGATGTGGGGGCAGGGGGAGCCTATATAAGAAAAGGAGCCTATATAAGAAAAAAACCCAAAAATCAGGACTGTCCCTATAGAATCAGGACATCTGGTCACCCTAGGCACAAGTCATTTACTCAAACACAGACCAGTCCCTCTGCTCACCATGTGCTATAGCTCCCAGATGATTTTCCCCCTGACTTCTCTCAGTGCTGTAAGGAAGGCACCAACTTCAGCCCAGCCCACCTGCTTTCTGAAACTTCTCTTCAACTGAGCTACTTGCTAAGGTGCTGGCTTTTGTAATCATTCCATCCCTTCTCAGCTGGGTCAATAATTGACCAGGGTTGGCTGGCCCCTGGCTTCCCCACCCCCTTGCCTGGCCATTAAAGGGCCGACCACCCTGTTACACCAGAGTTATAATTAATGCTAACAAAAATGTTGGAAGGGATAGTAATTAAACCTAATTTTTCTGGGCTAAAGGAAATCCAGAACTATTAGAGATCAGGAGTCACAGATTTCAAGGCCAGAAGGGACCATTGTGATTATCTCACCTGATCGCTAGGGTAAGACCTAAACTGGGCAGAAGGTTATTCTAGATCTGCCTACTTTGTGATTCTTACACTTTCCTCTGTAGCATCTGTCGGAGCGAGGATACTGGCGTGGCTGGAGCCTGGACCTCAGGTCTGAACCAGGCTGGCAAATCCTTTGTATGGAAAACACCAAATGCAGTGTGGATGTTACTGGAAACAAATAACAAATCTAATGACTATTATTACTACTACTACTAATCCATCCTCTCAGTCCCCAACAGTTTATGCATAGAGAAAAGACGTGAAGCCAGTTCAATATTCCCTGTTGTTCCTTAAACACCATCCATTGTCTTTCAGATGAGACGATCCATCACAGAAAGAGATGATCATAACTCATTTGCTGCACTTGTTAAATGGAAGGAAAAGCTTGGTTTGGGTTAGTTCCAATGTTGTGTCAGCTCTTATTTTATCTGAACTGTTTCATTCATTCCCTATACAAAGTATGCCTGCCACCCGGTGTTGAAAGCCCAGACCTAAAGATGAAGACAGCTGTGGAGGTAGCACTATGCCTGCAAGAGTTCATAGACTGTAATGCAATGTGATTTCTGAATGGAAAGCATCCTGCAGTACAATCTGTGGCACTACAAATCCCAAATCATAACAGCACATATCTACTAGCAGTGTTCCTCCTTCCATTCAATCCCACAGTTACCTACATTCCGGACCAACTTGGTCTCTCCTCACTTTTGTTGTGGCAAATGGATTACATCAGAATGCAAAGCTCTGAGGTTATAGTCATTTATATTAAAGGAAGGGATTCATGCAGGACACAGCCGTCAGTGTCCTGCATGAATGATTTATTTATGCCCCTCATTTTGGATCTTTGTCACACACTGCATCCTATGTTTGGGCCTTGGCAGGCAGAGGGGTATGACTTGTGGGGGTATAGTTCTGCCCTGACTGGATAAAGAATGTTGGGTTAGAACCTTGGGTCCAGCTGAGCTGAGCTGCAGGACTCCAGGAGGAGAGTAAAGGTGATGTTCCTCCACCTCTCTGCTCCCCTGACCGTAGGCACAGATGAGGGGGGCCAGTTCATACCCTGGCTTAAGCTGGAACAGCTTCAGGACTGCTTTCATTTACACTGGCTGGTAACAGCCCACTAGATTGCAGCCCAGGATAGCTAGAGTGCAAGTCACTCTCGCCACACTCCCAGCTGATCCCTGTCATGCCCTCAGAATGCTCCCTACTTCAAGGACGCCAGAAACAGGTGACTACATTAGACAGGATAAAAAGGATGAAGGCTATAAACCCTCCGGCTTTGCTTCAGGGAATGAGCCAACTAGGAAATGGCAGAGGTCAGGAAGCAACATCAGCTCTGGGCAGCTTGTTCCATAACTCTTCACTACAGGGATTCTTACACCTTCCTCTGAGGGACCTTGTGCTGCCTTGTGCTGGCAGAGACCAGAGCTGTGTGAATAAGGACTTGTCTACATGTGAAATGTGACCGTGGCAACGCTGTACTGGTGTCGTATTTCAGTGTAGATGCTACCTATGCCGACAGGAGGAATACTCCCATTGGTGTAGGTAATCCCCCTCCCTGAGAGGAGGTAGCTAGCACTCTCTACACCCAGGGTTAGGTGGGCTTAACTACACTGCTCAGGAGAGTGAATTTTTCACACCCCTGAGAGATGTAGTTAAGCCGACTTAATTTTCTAGTGCAGCGGTTCTCAAACGGTGGGTTGGGACCCCTGGGGTCACCAGGGCTGGCTCAGACTTGTTGGGGCCAGGGCCAAAGCTAAAGCCTGAGCCCCACCGCCCGGGACCGAAACCAAAGCCCAAGGGCTTCAGGGGCTCAGATTACAGGCCCCCTGCCTGGGGCTGAAGCCCTTGTACCTTGCTCCCACCCCCTGCCTGGGATGGTGGGGCTCAGGCTTTGGCCTTGCCACCCGGGGCAGCTGAGCTCAGGCTTCAATCCCCCCTCCTGGGGCCGTGTAGTAACTTTTGTTGTCAGAAGGGGATAGCAGTGCAATGAAGTTGGAGAACCCCTGTTCTAGTGTAAACCGAGCCTAACACATTTTTCAGTTTTGCGGTCTGTTTTGAATATTGTTTTAAAAAAGCATTTTGGGTTGACTGGAGACAAGACAATTTTTTGGCAAACCAAAAAGTAAAAAAAGAAAAAAAAATCATATTGGGCCCAATGCAACATTTTGTTCAACCCAAAGTGAAATGTCTTGTTTTGTTTTTGAGCTTTTTTTAAAGGGTTTAAAATAAAATAAAAAAACACCTGAAGTAAATTTGGACACAAAAAGCCATTTCAAATAGAAAAAAATCAAACGGTTTGTTTAGAAAATGTTGAATGAAACGCGCTGTCGTTTTCAGATTTCTTTTTGGTGTGTGAAACAATTTGGCAGATTTGACAGGAATCAGTGAAATGTTTTGGTTCACCTCAATCTGCATTTTTTTGGTCCAAAAAGGTTTTGGGTTGAAAAAGTTCACCAAGTTCTATCAGAGACAGGATAACAGTGTCGCTGGACCTGTGGTCTAATCCAGTATTATCAATTTCTTCTTGTCAAGCAGGAAGGTAGATGGCTCAGGTTACTAATGGACTTCCATCTCTAGGTCACCCATTCAAATGCTGCCCAGGCTAGAGTTGAGGCATATTGGCTGGGCATTAGAGAGAAGTTGGAAAAGCTGAGCTGTAACTAGACTTTATTTTCCAGTTTGGTCAATCTGGTGCCTTTAAGAGTGATACAGTCACTTTAGCCCAGAACCCTGAATTGTCTGAGAAGAAGCTGCGTGGAAGGCGCTCTGGTGTGATCGTTCATGCAAAGGCTATGGGTAATCTTACTGGATTCTACCAGAATGCATTTTATAGCAATTGCACACGGCATTGTTATGAGCATAACAGAGCACTCTTGCTGAGGAATGCTAATGAAAGTGAAGTCTAATTAAGTTTTCAGAGAGGTACCCTTTCATGGTCTATTGGTTTGGCCATTTAGGTCTTAATAGCACAGTGCCGGCATTGTGGTGATGTGATTGAACAATTAGTGAAGAAAGACCCATCCCATTAGTGGCTTGGGCACCTATCATGCAGGCGTGAATTCGTGTTGTACCTTGATTTCCTGCTCCTGGGGATGATGAGTCTGACCCAGATGCTCATGGGTCCTTTAGTTCCCAGCTTGAATCAGCATCTTGTCTCCATTAGGGATTTTTGCACTGGTAGAATGTACAGTAGTTAGAATGTTAAAGCTGGCTCTGCTTGTTAAAACATCAGCTCTCTCCAAGGCTGGGGCTGTGCCATGGGCATATACACAATTGCCATGGCAGCTGCTGGTAAAGGAACACCCCTCCTGCATCCTACCACCAGTCCATGGGGGTTTATCACGTGGGTCCCCTCCACCGGCCACTGCATGAGGCAGAGGAGACAGGACTGAGCCGCGGCTGCATTGAGTGGGAGCCTTGCAGGCTGCCTCTCCCCAGCAGCGCATGTCCCAGTCTGAAGTTTGAAGAGCTGGTACTGGGGGGCAGCCTGGAACTGGGAACCCCATCCTGAGCCCCCCTGGGGAAACTCACTCCAATTCCACACTGGCTAGGGGAGACTGGAAACAAACAAGGGAGACATTGGAACACAGGAATTTCTATATTGGATCAGACCCAAAGTCCATCTAGTCCAGTAGCCTGTCTCAGACAGTGGTCAGTACCAGATACTTTGGAGGAAGGTGTAAGAGCCCTGCAGTAGGCAGATCTGAGATAATTCCCCCCCCCCCCCCCCCGACCCACACACCCTTTCTCAATTCACGGATCTAATAGTTCTCAACATAGAGGATCCATTCCCACCCAGGGAACCCACTGTCCATCCAGCCAATCACTGCATGCCCACAGGATAATTCACCTGCCAGCTCCACTATAGGCAGAGGCAGCAAGACACCTGCCTGCCTCTGCTGCTGCTGTGTGGAACAGCTGCTAGACAGAGATGCCACTCAGTGGGGTTCGTGTTCCTATGACACGCTGCGTGGGCAGGGGTCAAAAGGGATGGGCGGTGGAAGGATTGAAGGGTTCAGAGAGGTGGATGATTTTCAGTGGAAAGCACATTTTACCCAGAGAATGTAACATTTCCAGCTGAGCGAGGTGGAATGTTCTTAAGGGAGCTCCTTTGTTAAACTCTCAACAGCATATCACCATCACTGGTATGACAACACGTTCCAGTCCATGTACTCCAGAGCAGCGTGTCCTCACTGAGATGGTGATGAACTTCACATGTTCCTGGTCAGGGGCTTTAGAAGCCCCCAGATTTCTCCTAGTTCCTGTCACCTCTTTCCTCCTCTCCCCCAACTCCAGTCCCTACATTTTGTTAATACACAAGGTGGAAATTCTTACATCAGCTGGGTTCTAACTGGCACCATCCCCTTCCATGCCTGCCACTGTGGTTGCTGCTTGTGTATCAGTCCCCTATTGCACTGCTTGTGGAGCTGCTCCCTGCCTGTTATTTAACTTTCTTTCATGTCGTTAAGTGAGGTGGCCCATTACTCCAGGCCTATCCATGTAGACAGCAAAGGTAGGGGATTATGGCTGTAGAGGCAGGTTATAGTGTCCAATAGGAGTTTTAATTCTCTTCTCTGCCCCTCATTGGCTTAATATGGGACCAAAGGGGGAAAAACCCCTAATCTGTGGCAATCTGTGAAATTAACCAGAATGGCATTGGATGGGCAGAGGTATTATTATCTTTATTGAAAGTTTACAGAAATACAGTAGGAGTCGGTATACAGGATATATGCACGTTCTCCAAAGGTTGCCTACGTTCTCGGCATTTGCAGTAGATTCCATGGAGGAGTTTTGTTTTGTTTTAATTCTTTGGGGTTTATCGGGCGGCTTCAGGATTCTCCACTATGAACTCTCAAGGATAAAGCTCTCTGGGGACGGGGAATGGTAAACTAGTCTGGCCTTCAAATGAAATTCAATGAATAAATGTATAAAAAGAGGAAAAGAACAAAATATACAGGGGAGTGAGGGGAAGAGAGAAAGAGAGAGGACGTGGTAGCAGCCTGAACACATCTGATATGTCCTGAATCTGCCCTGCTTTACTTCTCAGTTTTATCTCGCAGTAGCAGGCATTTTTCCTCCCTCTCTTGAGCTCTAAATCAGTGCACATGCTTCCCGGTAGATCTGGAGTTCAGCTCTCCCAATAGGGCTATTTGCTGTTTTCCATCTAAAACACAGCTCAGTGCTTGGGCTGCTTATGTAACTTTAATCAGCGGATCATCGATGACACAATGTTCTCTCTGACTCCTCGGCCGCCACTATGGTTGCAGCATCTAGCTACACAGCTATTGGCTCATGTTGTGGTTAGTTCTAAGCTTTGCATATTGTCATCACCCACTTTTGTTTATCATGAAAATAAATATTTTTCTGTAAAAAATGTAAAAGTAATTTCTTTTTCTACAGAAGTTCAAATACCAGTCAGGGTTGGGAGTTGGGGGTGGGGGGGCGTTGCTTGGTGGGTTTTACTTTGTATTTATTTTTTGCAATCAAGATGGATTGTTGTTCCATGTCCTTGCTGGAGGAAATTCGATGGACACTTCTGGCACTGAGGCATTTCGGCAGCGGCTGCTGGCCTTGCTCTAATAGTCAGTGAGCGGGTAGCGCAGGAAGATGAAGACGAGGATGATGCAGAAAGTGGCGAGTGCCGAGCTGGTGATGTTAAAAAGCCGGGCTGTCTTGGCATCTTCAACAGCTCCGTTCAGGTCATTGAGGAGTTTCTTATCCCGGACCTGAGACAAAAAGAATTTGGGGAGACATTACAAAAAAAAAAAAAAAAAAAAAAAAAAGAAAAGCAAACTAACCAGCTTAAAGTGATATAAGCAGGGGTTAGTGCGTGTGGACACTTTGTACCTGTTTCTACTGCATTCCAAAGTTGGGTGTAATTCCTGGCACTATCGTGCATTCAGGTATGGATGCTGGGTGCACTATAGGGTGAATTCTAGCACTAGTGCATGCTTCCTATTGTATTCCGAAGGTGGGAGTGTGAATCCCAACACTAATGTGCTGGGGTTTGGGTCCCACTGCCTTTAGAGTGGGAACGCTGGCACTTGTTCCATTGTGAATGTGCTTTCTACTGCATTCAGAGACTGGGAGTGTGAAATCTGGCATTGGCTCCTACTGCAGTTAGAGACCATGCACAATCCTACAGCATATTAATATGGCTAGGTTAACGCACTCTTTTGGCAGGTCCTATGCAGTTTACGCCTACCAATGCTGCAACTGACACTTTTCAGCTGTAATGTCATGATCTTATATGCACGCTATTTCAGAGGCCGTGACTTTAAACGTGTCCATGTTGGGGGAGGACAGGATGGCTCTGAAGATTGGTAATGACCTTGTACACTCATGAGTTTGACAACAGTCCACGCTGATAGTGACCAAATGGTGTTATCACTCAGCAGCTGGTCAGTAGTTTACAATATATCAAATATGCCGGTGTTCTCAGTCCAGTTCGTAGCAGATGCATGTCCACACCACAAAACCACCATCAGAACTGACACTGATTAGACCCTGGCCAACAGTCTCAGCAAACAGGATAGGGACAGAATGGGCCTGGAGATTTACCTCTTCACTCCCAGAGGTGGTCAGAGTGGGGCAGCAGGGGAATGCTGTCCTTGTTGTACCTATTTCGGGGATGGAGGATTTCAGCCTCCAGTGGCTGCTGCTTCCATCAGACCCTAAATTTGCTCTCAGAAATGTGAACACGTTTATGGTGCTCCTGTCTGAACACTAGATGTCGCTGGCAAGCCACGTAAACCGCTGAGCCTGCACCACAGTCCTATCTAGAAAGAATCGAATGCTTTTATCGACCAAGAGTTTTCCAAAAATACACCAGGATTGATTTAAGTCACTTTTCAGTGATTTGCTCTGTAACTCTGGCAGCACTTACAAGCCGACGCTGGCCTGGGAGCTTGACATGACTCACTGGACACAGGGCGGTAACGGCCGCCTCAGTCCCAGCAAATTGCTGTGTGATTCCAGCTCACGGAGGCCTGAAGCTCATTCCAGACCTTGGAGTAACGTCCCATGCATTCTAATATGTGGATTCTTCCACTCTGTTGCCCTGGAGGGGAGGGTCCTTTGCGAACACACTCCCTGCTTTTATAATGCTTCACACTAGCCTCTGGGAAGGAGTCTTTCGCAGACATAAGGGTGCATGCGAGACCCTACTGCGGCGGTCAGTCAAACACGTGGCACATGTATGTTAAGTATCTGTACCTCGCTCCCCCACCCCACATGGTGCATTTAGACCTGGAGAGCGTCTAGTGACACGACCAGACTGTCACACGCACCCAGCAGCAACAACTGAGAACAGCAGCAGCCAGATGGAGAATGGTGCAGCCAGAGCTGGGAAGTGAGCCACTCTCTCAAGGGGCCTGTTGCTCTCCCTGCAGAGCAGAGTAAGCACAAGAAAGCTCCTCCTTTTCTGTGCAGGGCCCTATGCAAAATCAGCAGGGGGAGGGGGGCTTCAGGCAGACAAGCCCAAGCCGCTGCACAGCTGAGGTCTGGGAATGGAGGAGTTCGGAGGTTAAGAGTACAAGTTTCATTATCTTGGGCGGAAGGGAGTAGGTGTGGGAATCAAGCCCCAAAACACCATGTAGTGAGCACCAGAGCCCACCATGGATACAATCCTAATCTGTTGGCAAAGCTGCCAGCAGGGATCTGCCATTACGAAAGGGAGCTGGGCAGACGCATGCTCTGTATCCCACGGGGTCAGCCCCGCTCACCAGAATGGAAATCATTCAAGGAAGGTCCTAGGCAGAGCTACACTCCTGAGAGGCCGAGGGAGAGAGGGGACAAGTATTCATTGTGTGAGACAAACTCCTCCAGGGACACTTCTACTCCTCCACCTCCCTCCTACTGGCCTCCTCTCACCATTCTTCTCTATTTCTCTCCAGGCCTCTCTCTCCTTCCCCTTCCGCCTCACCCCCCTTTCCCCATTCAGATGCTTCCCACTGGTCTCCTCTCCCTCCCCTCCCTTTTCCCATTTTTTCGTTCCTCCTTTTCTTCCTGCCCTCTGTCTCTCCCTCCCCCCTCAGCTTCTAACTTCTCTCTTTCACTCAGCTCCCATCTCCCCCCTCGTCCGGAGCCGCCCTTTCCTCTCTTCCCCACCCTTGGTTCTTCCCTGCCTTCGCTCCTTCCGCTCCAGTTCTTGCACCGCTGAGCACTTTCACAGAGAGTCCTGTGACGTTGTGCAGTCTATATGGTTTCATAAAAACATGATAATAAGTGAATATAATGTAACTGGGATAGTTTTATAAAAATCTGATAAGTGACTATAATGCAAATGGGATATGCTTCGTGCAAAAGGTCTCTTGTAAGGTATCATTACAAAGCTTATAATCTACCGAGTATGATCATCTGATTTGTATAAATGTACCACTCTTGTATCTAAAACTAGAAATATAAAACATAACTCTGAGGGCCTATTGTAATTATGTAAAGTGTGGGCCATTAATAATGGTTTGGAATCTTGATGACTCCCATTAACAAGGACCATTGTCTGCAGATGACTGTGTTTACCTGTGAGTCTTCCTGTATATGTGTGTGCTGGCAAGTGAGTAATGAAGTCTTGCAGTGACATGTGATCATGTCACCTGAACTGGAATCCATCTTTAACCTGGTGCTTTTCCAGTGAGGGGGGGGGGTGAAAACCCAGAGGGACAAAGGATTCCCGCCTTATGCAAAAGATATATAAAGGGGTGGAAGAGAACAGAGGGAGAGAGGAGCCGTCATGGAGAAGCCCCTAGCTAACACCTAAGCTGGAACAAAAGCTGTACCAGGGGAAAGAATTGTGCCCAGGCCTGGAAGGTGTCCAGTCTGAGAAAAACTTACTGAAGCATCTCTGAGGGTGAGATTATCTGTATTTAGTTTGATTAGGCATAGATTTGCGCATTTTATTTTATTTTGCTTGTGACTTACTTTGTTCTGTCTGTTACTACTTTGAACCACTTAAATCCTACTGTCTGTATTTAATAAAATCACTTTTTATTTAGTAATTTACTCAGAGTATGTATTAATACCTGGGGGAGTAAACAGCTGTGCATATCTCTCTATCTGTGTTATAGAGGGCGAACAACTTATGAGTTTGCCCTGCATAAGCTTTATGCAGGGTAAAACGGATTTATCTGGGTTTAGACCCCATTGGAAGTTGGGCATCTGAGTGCTAAAGACAAGCACACTCCTGTGAGCTGTTTTTGGGTAAACTTGCAGCTTTGGGGACAAGTAATTCGGACCCTGGGTCTGTGTTGAAGTGGACTGGAGTGTCTAATTCAGCAAGACGGGGTGCTGGAGTCCTGAGCTGGCAGGGAAAACAGAAGCAGGGGTAGTCTTGGCACATCGGGTGGCAGCTCCCAAGGGGGTATTCATTGTGTGAGACAAACTCCTCCAGGGACACTTCTACTCCTCCACCTCCCTCCTACTGGCCTCCTCTCACCATTCTTCTCTATTTCTCTCCAGGCCTCTCTCTCCTTCCCCTTCCGCCTCACCCCCCTTTCCCCATTCAGATGCTTCCCACTGGTCTCCTCTCCCTCCCCTCCCTTTTCCCATTTTTTCGTTCCTCCTTTTCTTCCTGCCCTCTGTCTCTCCCTCCCCCCTCAGCTTCTAACTTCTCTCCTTCACTCAGCTCCCATCTCCCCCCTCGTCCGGAGCCGCCCTTTCCTCTCTTCCCCACCCTTGGTTCTTCCCTGCCTTCGCTCCTTCCGCTCCAGTTCTTGCACCGCTGAGCACTTTCACAGAGAGTCCCATGACTGCACAGATTGCTGCTCTCCTTCCTCCTCTTCCCTCCTCCCAGCTCACAAGATCTGCTTCTTCTCCCTTGTCAATTTCTGTGCTCCCAGCCCCTCTGTACCAGGAACGCCCTCCTGGACCCCTCTTCCCAGCACCTTCCCTCCTCCACTTCATCCTCAGCCCCGGATCTTACCTGCTTGCACATGTGTTCCAAGTGAGAATATCCATCAAGGACTCTCTTCTGCCACCTTCCCCAACCCTTCCACCACCCACCCCACACTCTCCTCCTTCACCCTTGTTTCTGACTCTGATGTCTAACCCTCAGCGTGCCTCTGCTCACTCAGCCTGTCCTCCTGTCCCCATCTAGTCCTCTCCACCCTGGTTCCGTCTCCGATTCCCTCCCTTATCACTCTCCCCTCTGCCTCCTTCCCCCGGCATACTATTGATTCTACAGTCCCAGCTGCTTCTCTAATGTCCACCTTCTCCTGAAAACTCCTCCAGCGTGCCCCATGCTCTTCCCCTCTCCTTGATTCCCTCCACTCTGGCTTGTGCCCTCTCTGCTCCACCAAAAATGTCCTGACGGGTGGCATAATATGACCTATCTCCTCCTAGCAAATTCACAGGGAGTCTTCTCTAGCCATACTTTGCTTGAGCTCACTACCGCCTTCAAAATATCTGAGCTTTCTTTTGCCCTCCGCTTTCTCCCAAGTTCTCTTCTGACTTCTTTGATGGCTGCTTTGGCCTCCCCTTTGTTGGCACTTCATCCTCCCCTCTCCCTCTGTCTGTTGGACTCCTTCAGGGTTCTGTCCTTGGTCCCCTCCTCTTTTCCCATATGCTCCTGTGGCATCAGCTAGCACCTCTATTCAAATGATTCATTGTTATTCATTATCATTTATATTGTGGTAAAGCCTAGAGGCTCCAACCAACTGTCAGGGCCCCATTGGGATGGGCATTGTATTCACATATAACAAAAAGACAATCTCTGCCCCAAATTGTTTAC